CCAGGCCAAAGATGAATGAGCCTAAAAAATCCTACATTTACCATGTAAGACTGAGGATATCAGTGGTGTTTGTGTTTTGCAGCAGTGAGAATAAGGAAAGCATAGCTGTGTGGAAGTACAGTTATATTTGGCATCACTGGTTTCTTTCCTGCTGCCATGGCAAAGAAGTTTATGACTGAAACACTACTATAGAATTTGGTAAATAAACACAGATCTTCTGTACCTGACTTTGTAAAAGCAAAGCATACCCTCTAGGTATGGGACTTGAAACATGAGTTCAGATAAATAGAGCCTGGTCCTGTTATGAAAAATTGTTATCAGAGGAAAGACAATTTATTCCACTGTGTTTAGAATCCCTCTAGAACCTCCCAGAGTTCCAGCGCCTGGAGCCTGAAATTCATTTCTCATTCTGGCAGAGTACAAATGCTGGGTTGCAACTTAATTTGATTTTATTTTATTATTCTGGGAAGTTCTAGAAGCACGGCTAGAGTTATTTCAAATAGAAAAGAACAAGAGTCATGAAGAATAACATCCCTCTAGATCAGATGCACTAATAAAATGAACATGCCTTTTGAAAAGTCGCAATTTAAATTATTTCAGGGAAAAGACTTCTAAAAGTCATCCTCTGCCTATTGCCCTCAGAACAAAATTTAGTATTTGGACACGCAGAGGGAGAAAAAATTATTTCAGAGGTTTCCAGACATCTCTCGTTTCTTACATTCTTATTTGTTAGCATGAAGACAGATGCATAAGAAGCTTTATAAGATGATTTGGGTTTGGTTTTTTTTTTTCCCCTGATTTGTTTTGGCATCTCATATCATAGAAGAATTTAGATGGAATAATTTGAAAATATAAAGTTCAGTTTGGTAGTGTATCCAATGTGGCATGATGGGTCACAGTGTAGGGATGAAGGCAGAATAGACGATACATTCCTCATTTTAAAGCTGGGACTGGCTCTGCTTCTGTTGGAATGTCACAGTGCTGGAGATGTGAGGAGACATGCAGTGGCAGAAATTGCAGCTGGCAGTAATCAGGATGAAGGAATGCACCTCTGCAGCCATGTGAGGGTAACAGACCAACTCCTGCAGGTAGCCATGTTTAAGGTTAATAGATAGTGCAGACTGTGATACAGACCTTTACGGAGGAATTGCATTTTCCAGTTGTTGCTCATAACTTAAGCATCGATGCAAAGCTTTATCTCATTCTTATTCCAGTATTTTAAGAATGACCAAAAATACAAGTAACTAGGTATTGAATTCAAGTTTATTCAGACACCCCTACTAGGTTTAAAAAGCCAAAATGCGATAAAAATCCTGTTAGCTCCAAGAGCTGTGCAATATATGTTGAATGTTGTACTACCAGCATTGTAATCTCTGTGTGAGAGAATGAAATGAGAAGACTTTTCTTTCCTGCATTCACTTTGGCTGCCCCATACATTCAGAGTGGAAAGGTTACTGCCTGTCAGGAAGAAAAAGGTCCCCTTATGTTCTACCTTCACAGGCATTCCTAAAACCATTATCAATCAGGATTGTCTGCAAAATGGTTAAACCAATGCTGACCTGGATATACTAGTCCCCTGAAAAGGTGTAAACTATATATATGTTGGTTTATAATGTAATAACATCTATCTGGCTCTTACGTATACAGTAGGCAATCACCAAAAAGACTATGGAGTTGCAAAAAGATATGGCAGTTCTTAGTTTTGGGGTTTTTTTAATCAAGAAAAGCATACAGAATCTGCAGCAGGCAAGATCAGGTCTTGAGCAGGGCACAGAGGAAAGAGATGGAGAACACAAGTGAAGTTCAGTAACTGAGAAAGAAATTGAAGTAGCATTGGTTTTTGAGGCTAATATAGTAGGGATAGAAGTTATTTGCATGTGAAACTCCTGGTCTACATCTGTCTCAAAACCAAAAAGCCAAGTCGTGTAAAATAATGCCTAACAGTCAAAACTGCGGCATAGTTTAGGTGGATTTTCACTTGGAAAATGTAAAACCTGTACCCTTTTACTCAGCAGATCTTATATGGCAGCTGAATTTGTGGTCACTTTGGAGAAGTATGAGATGAAATTTCAGTTCCATTGAAGGACAATGGTAAAAGGCCTGTTCACTCCAAAATTCCCTTGGATACCACCCATGAGATCTTTTTACCACTGCTGCTGTTGAGAAGCCAGCGCTGCTATGAGAACGGGGACTGGGCTCCGTTCAGAAAGCAACTCAAACTGCATGGTCTGGTCTTGATTCGTTTGCTTGCGCAACTCCACTGCAGTGATGAAAGGAAAATGATCCAACTTGGTTTTCAGATACAAACCTGAATTTTCATGTCTGACAACTAGGAACCCCCTTCCCTCCCCACCCAGCTGTAAAATTACCTCATTTTCTCTGTAGGTCCTTGAAAGTTAATAAACATGAAACACAATGATGATGTATTTTATAGGGTGACTTTTCAGACTGAAAGTACGATTTAAAATTTTGGACTTTCTGCTTTTTCCATTGATTTCGGAGCACAGCAAACTCTACTTTGTCCTGCCTGATCTGACTTCTCTTCTTTCAGGGAAATCTCACTGCCTTTGTTGATATTGTTACATAGGGATTCACATAAATGTAGCTGAATATGAACATTTATATGAACAGCTAGTTCATTTAGTACTTGACTTGTTTTATTCTGAACACAAACATAAATACCCATGCTTATGTATACCAGCACCCAAACACGAGTATGCCATGTTATACACATTTTACACATGCAGCATTAGATCAAAAAGTCCTGACATTTTTTTTCAAAGGTTTGCTAGATTTTTTCTTTTTTTCTAAATTATTGGTAAAGAATATTTTAAGTGATGCATACTTTTCAGCTGTATTCTGAAAGGTGTATCTCAGTGTTTAAAATGTGCTGGATTTAAAAAAGAAACAGAGAAAAGAAAAAGGGATCATCTGATCAACTGCTCAATTTTTCTTCTCTTTTCCTGATCACCTCTGCCCTGGTATGTAGAAATTGGCTGATTTATTTAAATCCCAGGAACTCCCACGGCACATGGTTCGTAAAGTAGTATTTACAGTGTGCATTGTAACACTTCATCACTACTGGAAAGACTTTGAAAGTAATATGGGTTCATGTTGTTCCAAAAGAAAAAATAGGGTAAAAGTATCTCTAATTTTAAGATTTGCTTTTGAGTCTACTGCTGTAAAATCCTTTTTTTTTTTTTTTTTTTTTAGGGGAATTTTTTTTTTTGATATTTTCTGAATGACAACTGCCGCCAAAACCAAAATAAATTGAAAAATCCCCTAACCCAAAAAAACCATCCTCAGAAAGTAGTTCTTCAACACTGCCTTTTTTCCCACAGCCTTGTGGAGCCCCCAACCCTGTCTGCAGAAAATGAAAGAGAGAGGGGTGGGATTAATGTGTAATTAAAGGGAATTTGGAAGGCTGAGATGTTGCGGAATGTTAGATCAGTAGCTGGAACAGCATGTGGTGTTCTTTAGGCAGGCTTCATTGAATCCATACAAAAAAAGAAAGAAGGGCTGCTTGCCTGTCTGCTCATTTATCAAACAGCTAGGCTGAACTTTCACAGCTCCACAAAAGTGTTTTACTGTTTGCTGAAGTTTTGCTCCAGAAATTAAAGCTGAACAACCTAGCGACTCTGAGTCTATGCTGTGTTTTTGACATAAGCCACGTTGTGCAAAGCTCTTGGAAACCAACGCAGGTCAATTTTTACATGATACAAGAGGAAGCTGATTGTATGTTTGCTAAAAAAAAATAAAAAAATATTACTGAAGAAATGGTCAAATATGTGACATTGTAATGTCTTTATTTATATAGCACCTTTTGATCTAAATATGTGTTCCAGGGCTTTCAGTTATCAATCAGGATTAAATATTTATCACAGTGGCAAAATGGCTCATGGAGAAAAAAAATCTATATTATTTAATCAATTTTAATTGATGTTTTCTTCTGGTTGAGCAGCTACATTCCATCTTATATGCCTGTTTTCCTTTAATATTAGCCGGTGTCCCCCAAAACAGGAAACATTTAGCAATTTATATAATGAAAACACAATTAAAATAAATTAAAAAATGAAGAAATTCCTTTTGCAAGTGAATCTTCAGGGCTTACTGCAATCTTTCTTGCATGGCTGTTCTGTCAGAAGAATTTTCCTCCTACTGCAGACCACACTGAGAATCAGGTTCAATCCTGTGAGGTGCTGAGTGCCACCTTTCCAGCAACTGCAGCAGAGCTTTTTCATCAGGACTGGTCTGGTTAACAGGGGCTCTGATTACTGAAGGCACAATCTACATTCATTAATCCATTTCCTTAAATGCATCTGGCACTAAAGAAGTTTTGTTTTACAGTAGCAATGTTCTTTTAATCTCTGCTGACAGACTAGAGTCCGGATTCTTGATGATACCCTGCTGTTTCTGAGATGCACTTGTTTTCTGTAGAGGATAAATTGATTATGAGCTATCTTTACAAATGCAACAGTGAGTCTATTCTGGTAGAAGTGGTGCTCCTATTAAATACCAAAATCTTTTCAGGGAATCGTCTTTTTGAAAAGGGAATGTTTAATGGCAGGATTGTGAAAGTCTTTAAAAGACTGTGGCCTCTAAAACTCTCAAAAGGGGAGTTTCCTATATTTGCAGCAAACCCAAGTTTGTTGAGCCTGAAAACAGACTTAAATAAATAGTAGGCCAATTCTAAGTACAATCCTTGTTAATTTAGAGGCGGAACGGATCTTAGATTTTTAAGGAAATGTATGCTACTCCAGTAACTTCAGAAAGTCTTAGTTAAATTAATGCTAGTTAATGGAAATATACTGAATTTTAAAGTCTCTTTCACCTCTTTCAGTAATGGAAAAAATCAAAAGCTTTATTTCAGTTTTTGCCTGCCATGTATTTTGCTGACGTCGCAGTGTAGTTTTTCTGCTTTTTGTTCTTAACAAGTCTATATTAAGTATTAGTAAATGTGCTGTTCATTTTTTTCTAATATCAGTTCTATTTCTTTGCAGATAATAAGGCAACAGTTTCCACAGCTAACGACAAGAAGACTTGGAACCAGAGGCCAATCAAAGTAAGCAGTGTATGGTATTATTATCATCTCACACAGGGCCCCATTTGGCTCCAGCCTTACTGAATAGGATAGTATGCGATCAGGGAATAATTTGTCCAGTTGGAGACTTAAAGCCCAACTTTGAATGAGGTCCTATTGTAGTCTTTACATTGTCTTACTGATTCAGTGGTGATCCTGCAATGGTAGTCTAATGGAGGCCTTTTACTGATTTCATCAGCAATATTTTCCATATTGTTCCTATAATGTTTTTCATCTCAACTCACTTTACATAATGTAAAGGACATTCACACCCAGGAATAATGGAGCTACTGTTGGAGGCTGGGAAATGACAGCTGGTTAACATCATGTTTCAGTTTAGAGGACAAGTGGCAGAAATCTATCTGGAATTTAGGTAGGAACATACATTGGCCTAAACTGAAGGTGTCCACAAACCTGGATTTAACCACCATTTTTCCTGTGTAATGAAATCCAATGTATTTTTAAGCAATCAAGGAATTAGTTTATTGCCTTACCTAAAAGATGGTACTTCCTGGAAACAATTAATCCTAATTCCAGAATGAGAAAACAATTCAGAAAGAAAAAAGCCCTTCCTGGAGTATTTGACTTTTTCCCGTTGTTGACAAGAAGTGATTCTACCAGTGATTTATTTTTTATACTTTTTTCTGTTTGTGGACTCCGTGAAATTTTCCCAGTGGAGGTTTGGATCTTTTTATGGCAAACATAAGCCCTCTAAAAAAATATATATGTATCTGCTTTTCTTGATTAGCTTTCACAGAATCCTACAGGGTAGTCTAAGGGTGGTGTCTGTAGGTGACTATGGAGGGGAAAATGAAAACATGGGACAGCACATTTGCAAAATTTTGCTGGTAAAGCTCTTTTGAAACGAAGCCTAGAAACACAATATTGCTAAATGCTGAGAAACATGCTATGAGGACTGCACTTACATACTAAAGCTAGAATGACACACTCTTTAAAGGAAAAAAGAAATTAAGATGCTAAAAGAAATGCTGATAAATTAACTTTGCTGTGCTCTTCTAACAAGTGGTCCGTGCCAAGCAGTAGCTCTTTGATGGGACCAAAAGTCCTTTTCCCCATCTGGAGATTCTCCTAATTTTTATAACTAAGCTTTCTTTTTCTACAGCAGTCATATTTAAGCAGGTAATTGAAGATTTAAAATCCCTTCCCAAATGCAAATTCAAAGCTACCGTAACATCAGAACTTCCAGAAATGTCTCAAGTGCAAATTCTGAGCTAGTCCAACAGCATATTAGGAAAGCATGGTAGGTCCAGACTCAGAGAATCAGGGTTTAGCACTGAATATAAGTTCTTTGGAAGTTCAAAAAGACAGAGTGAAAGCTTGCACAAGTTGCTTTATGGAAGCATTCATATGAGAGTACTCACTGTAAGCCATCAAATCACTCTGGCATTGGCTACAACTTCGTTATTTGTCTTCCTGTTTAATGAAAGGAATGAGCACTGCTGTATTTCCAAACTGGAGCTCCTCCTGCAGCTCCCGGAGTCTCTCAGAGGAGGAAGATGCTCTTGATCTGCTGACTGAAGGCGTCTTGCATCTCCAAAAGCTATGTCTCTTTATTCTGAATGAGGCTAAAAATCGAGGAGGCTTAATATTTCTTGCATATTTTCCCCCTAATCTGCATGCCTATCAGAGGGGCTTTCAGGTCACATACTCCTCTCGTACCACCTTTGCAATGGCTCTGCTCCCTATCTAGCAAATAAGAAGGGATTTCTGTAAAGCATGCTCTCTGTGCTCTGCAAAATTCTTGGCCCCTGAGAGTCCCTGGTCACTTCTGTGAGAGAGATCATAGTCACTCAGATTTCACAGCCTCAGTAGGTATGAAATTGAGTTCTTGTGCTCCAGAAGAGGATACCTACCTCTTTGTCAGTGGCTAACACCCCAAGGATTATAGCATACAGAGGAATCCTTCTCATTTGATCCAGTGAAGAGGAGAGGTATAAGCACACACACACTACATGCACACTGTACTACTTTACAATAAATGCGTTCCTTGCTAGACCCAGCACAGCTGTAATGGAGCTCTGGTTTTGTTTTCAGAAACATCTGACTGCATTCCAATTAAGTGTTACGTAAAGAAATTGCTTTAAGCATTAACACTTCAGTCGCTTTATCACCAGCTGTGCTGACCGATTGCTGCCAGTATGATTTTCATTCCACTTGCCTGCTACTGCCAAAGGAAATTCAGCCATGGAAGTGGTTAAGATTATCTGACTTCACACTGTTCTGCCTTCAGTCTTTTTATAGCACGGCTGCCTTGTAACATTACAAAGTTCAGAGCTACAATGGTGCTATACTCTTGGTCATCAGTTGTGAGGCTTTCTTTTTTGCAGCTGGGTTTATTGCTGTAAGCATGCAGCTGTTCTCTATCGCACTGAGCTTAAAAACAGTTCCACCACAGGTGAGCCGTGAGAAGGCAGCTAAACATAAAAGATGATTTCTTTCTGTACTGTAGCTTGAAACTCTTCAATTATGTACACAAGAGGTTAGTTAAACTGATGGAAACTACATTGTGTGAAGGGAATTTTACTTCTTTCTTTGAAGGAGTGCTGCAGATACCAGATCCATAAGAGGGAAAAGCATTCCACTATTTACCACAAAAACAATTGTGTAGTCTGCATGTTATTCTTTACAGATCAAACTTTCAAGCCCTGTTTATTGAATTAAGTTGGGTTTTTTTCTGATAGAAATACAGAAATGTGCTTGGAAAAGAATCTTTGTGAATTACACTAGTGAGTTTTTGCCATTTGGGATGGTAAAATTACTGAAGGAGGAAGCTATCTGGAAAAGCTTCAGAGTTAATTTGGCTATTGCTGTCTACATGATTTTGAAGCTACCTGGAAAACTCGTTTATGTAGTTTACTGCCAAGTGAAATACACCAGAAATCAAATAATGCACAGTGAAATTCTACTACATTTCCTAGGCTTTCATTCAGTTTTTTCTTGAATTGATTTAAAAGAAAGATTAGTATAAGAGACTGACCCCTATCTAAGTTATACAAACCTCTCAGTCTAGATAGAACTTTTGCAGTCCTGCCTGCTATGACCTTTTCCCTCCCCCCACTCCCTTCCCTCAGCAATCTGTGGTGCTAGATTCCTGCAGCATTTTGGTTTCCCCAGCCCCAGACATACCGCACAGGACATATGTGAGCTTTATTGGTCTTATGTGCAGTGCATGCATGACAGTTGCTACAGACCAAACTGGGGACTTGAGCTGCAAGCTGGAGTTGTTATCATTCTAGCTAAAAAGCCAAACTTCTACAGCTGCTGTTATAACGCCAGTGTTAGTACAAACTTGCCATTAGCTGTCTGTAAGAGGTTAGGACTGATCTGGAACATGGTTTCTGGTGTGGAATAGGCATTTTGGCCTAAGTCCTGATGGGCAGATTTGGAGCAGATAGTGTGGCTTTCTAAGGTATTGAAGCTAGGAAACTCCATTCATACCATGTCAGCTTAATGTTTTAATAAATCTCACTTGAATTATTCAATATTGAGTTCTAGATAGCTTTTATTTTTAATAGACAATATCGAATGTCCTCAGTGGGCATCGCAAGGGAGTCACATACTAGAAGTTGCTACTCCCCAGGCCTTTTATCAGCCCATCTATGCTGTTGGACAAGATTAGGGCTTCCAGCTCTTTGCCACCACTTTCTGCTGGAGATTATGACACACACTGATCTGTGGGTGAATGACTGAGAGTGAAAAAAGGAAAAAAGTCACCTGAGTTAGTTTAAACTACCATCATTTAGATGCTACTCTTTCACTAATTTAATTGATAACCTTTGTAAATCCAGCTGATTTTGCCTAGAGCAAACTTGGGTCTGTTGAAGTGAACAGATCGGCTGTCAGCGCTCTGAAATCAGTAACTGTCTGGGGAGTACAACAAACATCTGGAGATGGTAACTTCTCCTGCTACCAGAGTGGGATCCAGAAGACCATCTCTCATCATGCTTTTGATAGGCTGTAAGGAGAGAAGTGGAAGATCACTGAAAATTCCCTCTAGGAAAGTAGGGTGAATCAGAAGTATACGAGCAATGCAATCTTGTGATGCCTTTTGTAATCATTAAAAATTTAGCTGATGGGTTGTTGATACCTACAGCTGAGAAACTGAAATAAGTTAACAGGTTATGGAAGGAATAGTATTACCTTTGCTGCTTTGATGCAAGAGTTAGACTGGATAATTAGTGCTTCCATTAACACCTGTAATAAAGCTAGGTTGTAGCACAAACTTGTGCGATAAGGCCACCAATCCATTTTTATGCCTCAGCCACTTTATTACTCTCACTGTGGTCTGCACAGAGAGAGTTAGTGTTGTGTAGATGCCTCACTAATCCAAGCCCAGTGCTGAGTTATGAAGCAAATAATTTTGAACTGTACATTTCCTACTGTTCATTGCTTTCCAGCACAGGTCCTTTTTCCCCCCTCTCTTTACACTGCAGTGTTTTCAATTTTTGAAACATTTTTGGTCAACTCATTTGCAATAAAGACTCATGCTTTTCAGGGATCAAACCAGCCTTCAACAGTCTGAAAATCAGGGAGCTGAAATAACAACAGAAGGGCCAGGCCAGAGGGTCTGTACCTCTGCTTATTGCTAAACTAAAGGAGCAGCTGCACAGCAGAGCTCTGCCAACAAGTAGCTTTAGGATGCTTCTATTTTTATAAGAAGAAGAAAAAATAGAAGTCCATTATTTTCCTGCCCTGCAACAGTCAGCTTTATTATGTCTGAAGAGAGCTACTTTTACCAGAAGGAATAAAAATTGGAAGCCCAATATATTACCACAAGGTTCTGCTACTGAATCAATTCTTGTTAATAATATATAAACTATTGCACAGTCTGTTTTGCTGTAGAAATCATTAGCATTATCAGTTTCTCTTACGCCCGTATCTTTTTCTTTTAATTTTAAAACAATCTGCTCTATAAAATATACATCTCTATGCATCAGGTACCATTATTATGGAATTGCAGTGAAAGAAAACTCCCAGTATTATGATGTGATGTATTCTAAAAAAGGAGCAGCCTGGGTCAACGAAACAGGAAAAAAAGAAGTAACCAAACAGACAGTGGCGTATTCACCACGATCCAAACTGGGAACATTACTGCCAGAGTTTCCAAATGTCAAAGATCTAAATCTGCCAGCCAGTCTGCCAGAGGAGAAGGTAACACTTTGGAAATCTTTTCTTGGCTTGTCTTGATTTTTTTTTTTCCCTGCTCTGGATGAAAGCTTTATCTAAAATACAAAGACTTTAAATTAGAGTAAGTTTAATAATGTTTTGACTTTATTTATAGGGCGCTTAATTGCTTCATATAATAGGAAGAAATACCTTCCTATAAAATAGGCAGCTGATGTTATCAGCTGTACAATATTTCTAAAGCCCGTGCACACTTTTTTTAAAGTTACATTACATACAGCAGGTGAGGTTTGAGGGTAACTGTTTTTAAATATGTTATAGCTCTCTATTCTGCGAACACATTTGATGGCAAAGTGAAAAACAGTTCTGATGCTTTCTTGAGCAGAGAGGGACTTAGTGCATTTCTTGTCCTTCTAGACTAGAAATCAAGAGAACCCTATCTGCACATGTGACAAAAGTGCTCTGGCTGCTCTTGGCTGAGCTTGCTAGTTTTCTGATGCTATTCACATGTGTAGTATCAATGTAAAGTGGACAAAAGAATAGGGTTTTATAGTTCTTTATGTCCTAATTAGGGCCACATTCTCGTCTTTGATCTCACTGAGGCTTTTTGCTCCTCTTACATTTGAAGAATCCCCATTGATATAGAAAAATCCATGAATTCAAAGAGAGAATTTACTTTTAAGAAGAAAACTCATCTTAAAGCTAATCTAACTAATCTAACTAGACTCTTACCAATTTAATTATTTTTGCAATTGTGCGTGGGTAAGATAAGAAAAAAACTTACTTTTTTTTTTTGCTCTAGATTCTGATAGTTTTAAAAGCAGATTTCTTATAGCAGAATGATCTTTTGTGTGTCTCCCTCATTCTTTTTCAGGTTTCCACCTTTATTATGATGTATAGAACTCACTGTCAGAGGATACTAGACACTGTAATAAGAGCAAACTTTGATGAGGTATGGTTGGAAACTACAGTTATAGTTTAATGATACATGAGGTATTAATGGATGAGAGCTTATTTTGAATGCGATATTACAAACTTACGGTTTTGTGGTGGCCAATCCTTTTCATGAATAATGAACAATAGCTATACTTGAATACATAATATGTGGTGATAGTGTTAAATCTCACTTACAACTCTGCAAGTTAGAGGAACAAAAGCAATGGGAATGTTTTTATCTCTCCATTCTCCAGCAAGACTAAGGTAGCAATATCCCCTTACAAGATGTTGGACAATCCATTTCTTACAACTCAAGAAGTGTGTTCACCACCACTTTTCTAAGCTCTGAGCTGGGACTGAGCTCTGTTTGAAGGAATTCCTCTGAGTGTTCAGCACAAGCCCAAGGCAGGTGACACAGCTGAAATGGTGGGCTCTGGTGGTCTATTAACAATGGTGCAGGGCAGTGGGGGGTCTACAGCCTCCCACACATCCCAGAAAGCTGTAGCTGAAGTCCCCAATTGCTCAGTTGTACTGCAGTGCAGCTAGGAACACACACACTGCTCAGCAGTTGATACAATCCATTAGAGGTGGATAAGGTTTGTACCTGCTGCATATCTGACTGAATCCAAGGATTTTCTGGCAGCGCATGCCAACAACTTTATAATTAGATGTGAAAAATAAAACATTACTGGAATGTAAGCAGTTTTATATTACATGTGGAGATACCTAGTCCAGGAAAATAAATCTGACTATAGAGATGCTGAGGGCCTGATTCAAATATGACATCCAGGTCCTGGAAAAAATCAAAGGAAATGGGTCTTTTAACTCTGCCTTATGAACAATGGCGAGAAATTCCCTGCTTTTCTTCCTCTCACTGTTTAATTCTCACACTCTTCTGGTTTAAAGCTGAGGCTCTTTTAAGTCATTGAACCCAGTCTAGATGTTTCCATGTGAAAGATGTGACACACATTCAGGAAGTTTTCTGGGTGAGTCTCAGAATACTTTCTTAAGAGCAAGATGTTATATTTTGTTAGGGAATCTGTTTGTCAGGATCAATGGTGAGGAAGGGGCTGAGAGACAACAATATCTAAATGGCAAATATTCTTTACTGCACCTGGTGTGGTTACTTGTTTCAGTACAGATTGTGTGTGAAAGGTTATCACTTATGAATGCTGGTATTCTGACCCCTGTAGAACGGATCATATCATTCACTGAATAACACCTTTATTTCCTAAGTAAAAATTTTCAGAGGTATATGTTGCTGTGCCTGAAATCTCCTCCCCGTTTTCTTTTTTGTCTTTTTCCATTCTTTCTCCTCTTTCCTTCATAGTGGAGGAAAGAAGAAATCCAAAAGTGTAGTGTTTCTTTCCAAAATGAAGACAGAAAATGGTATATTGACCCCTGTAAGCCATGTGCTATCCTCCTCTCCCTCCCTACACCAAGCCCTAGATTGCATTCCTTTGTATACAGAGACAGAGAGCAAAGAGAGAGAAAAAGGCTTGACATGTGGAAGCCAAAGAGTTGCACTCACCAGCCATTGATGGAAGGTAAAAATACGGTGGTTCCCATGGGTATCTCTACTGTAGTAACACAAAGACACCCTGTCACCAACTCAGAGGGTCTCCTTGCCCTTTGGTTGATTATCCCATTGTGCACTGTGTTACAGTATAAGACTGTCTAGTTAAGGAACACGCCTTGCCTGTGTTGTACACCATCAGAGCAGCTCTGGGGCCAAAGCAAATGCTATATAAGCAGGGTCATTTAAAGAAAATGGTATTTATGGCCTTTGATTATTTTCACTTAAATATTCCCTCACTTAAACATTCCTTCTTCTTGTGATTACAGGTTCAAAGTTTTCTTCTGCACTTTTGGCAAGGGATGCCTCCTCATATGCTGCCTGTATTGGGTTCTTCAACTGTAGTGAATATAGTGGGAGTTTGTGATTCAATTCTGTACAAAGCAATTTCTGGAGTTTTGATGCCAACGGTACTACAAGCATTACCTGACAGGTCAGTATAGCTAGCAGCACTGACCACTTTTAGCTCAGCTGTCTTTATTATATGTCTTTCCTTCAAGAATGGCACCAGTTTTCAGAAAGCTGCTTGCTGCCACCTGTTTCCTGAGTTTAAATCACAGTGCCAATTCAAAGGAGTTGAAGAGCTGACATGATCCTGAAGAAATGTTCAGATTTTAACATGGCCTGTATTGTGAAAAGCTTGTTATTTTTTGTGATAAAGGATATCATCTTCTTGTTGGCCTATTAACATGAAGCTGATAGTCATGTCCCAACTTTCAGGTAATGTCAGAAATCTGCAGGCTGCAGAGTGTCACACTGTCTTCTGAAAATTTCAGAAACTGTTCTGCCATTCTGGGATAACAGGATACCAGTATTCTGAATTACAGTGACAAGAGGAGCTGGCCTGGTTGCTCTGTTTGTGAACACTCACTGCATATTCAAGCACTACAACCTAAGCATTTCTCTGTGTTTGCACTCTTGGAACCCAGTTGTTACGCTGCTTGCCAGGAATATAAAACATGAAGATCATAGTTGTGAACTCTTGGACAAATTGGTTTAATTTAAATACTATCCCATGAAGAACAGATGCAAGCTTATTTTAGGATTACTTTGTTAATATTAACAAGTAATTGCTTCCTTTGTTTCAAAGCTAAATTCAGTTTTCCATGCCATGTGGTAGAACTCAGCTGTTCTTTTCCTACCTGGAGCTCACCTGAGTCCAAGAAGTCTTGTTTATGTAGGTAAAGCAGCACAGAGAGCAAAAATTGTAATCACTGGCTGCAGCCAACCTGTTTCCTCCTTTTATTTTCCTAATATGAGTATCGAGAATTTTTTCCCTAAATATATGTGTACACCTTTAATATTATCTGACTGATGTTTTCCTGAGATTGAGTAATTTGTTAAGAAATTTGTTAAGCATATTGCTCTAGGAGTTTATTATTGGTGCTGTATGTTTGGTCCTTAAGATTTTAAAGTGGTTCTAATTATGACAAATGTTTTCAAGATGGTGTTCTGCTCTCCTATGCACACTGTATGACTGCTGAAGTACAGGTGAAGTATTTTTTCCACAAGAAACCTGTTGCAAGCATGGGCTTTCCTTGATAAGACATATACATTTTTACAGGCTTTGCCCGTCACCCCCCCCCCCCCCCCG